CCTGTGAAGTTGGCGCCTTGATGCAGGTACCTCGAAGATGGAGTTGGAGCTATGGCGCCACGGCCCACAGGTATGTCTCGCTGGCCTCCGCCAGCCATCTCTCCCAACTCTACTATCTACCACCTACTAGCGCCCAGTGCTGAAGACTACTGCTATGTCTACTAGCGCCCAGCGCTGAAGACTACTGCTAGCGCTAAGCTACTCCCTGCAGCGGTCCTCCTGAGTGCAACGCTGAATCCCGAAGACTACTCGTGCCTACTGTCCAACTACCTACCCGTGAAGTCCATGGGACTCTCCTATGTACTACCCGAGTGTGCCTCCTGACTGCAAGCGAGCAGTCCAGGAGGCTGCTTTTGCCAATGCCAAAGGGAGGCAGGGGCTGCAGCTGCAGCTCCTACTCGAGTTGGCGTGGGGAACAAGCTATTTCTGGCCTGTTCCCGAAACCCTATTTCCGTGCCTGAGTCTTAGGTAGGTCGAACACAATGAGGGCCTGAAAATAGCCCTCCGTTTCAGGCTGAAAAGCCTCTGGGCCTGAAAGGCCCAGAAATAGGCTGAAACGGAATAGGGCCTGCAGGCCCAGACCCTCGTATTTCAGCTTTCAGGCTGAAACGACCGGGGCTTGTAAGCCCTAAGTTTTAGGCTTTTAGGCTGAAAGTGCGGGACGGGCCCTGCAGGGCCCGTGTGGCTACGCAGTATGCCACACCCCCCCCTCCTTGAAAGACCAAGCTTACCTGCGAGGGCGAAGCTGTATGTCTGAGGGAGGGACCATAGTCGAGGTGGGAGGGGCGGGTTGTGGAGGTCCCTTGGCTAACCTTTGACACTCGTAGTGAGCGTAGATCAGCGGTGCGGATGCTTTCAAATCTGCTCCTGAAATCCACCGAGAGTCGTCGGGATCGCATGCTCTTAATGTAACTTTGTACTGTCGCGGCTTGCTGCCGTACTTGCGATCCGAGATTACGCGGTCAACCTCCTGATGACCATCCATAGATGGAGGGTCCTGCGATCGTCGGCCAGGGAAGTCATCGCTCTTAGCTGGTGTATATGTTGCCAGCTTCGATGCGTGAAAGAGTGGATGGACCGTCAGATGCTCAAGAACGTTGATCACAAACGAAGGGCCATCGGGCTCATCGCCTGCGGCTGATGTCACGGACCATGGTCCAAACCACTGGGGAAGCAGTTTGCGTGAAACATCCTGTTCCACTGCAAACTCTTCCGCGGAGACCCAAACCAGATCACCGGCGCGGATGGGACATGGCACGCGACGCCTGTTGGCTTGCCGCTACATGCGGACTTGAGCCTTCTGCATGTTCGCGCGGGCTTGAGTCAGCAATTCCCTGTACTTCCGGACGAAAGCGGGAGAGCAAGCGGCGTCAATGTCGGCTGGTCGGGGGAGGAGAAGGTCGGCGAAGATACCGCCTTTCCGTCCACCGTGGTGCAACTCGAATGGAGTCACGCCGATCGTCGGGTGCACCGAAGTGTTGTAGGCGAACTCGATGTCGGGGAGGCAGTCAACCCAATCTTTCTGGTCCGGACGGATAAGCGTACGAAGCATCATTTGAGCGGTTTGATGTGCCCGCTCCGTTTGCCCGTCCGTCTGTGGATGCCGAGCCGAACTTGGTTTCATCTTTGTGCCGGACTCCTGCATGAGAGCAGTCCAAAATGCCGAAATGAAGCGAGTGTCGCGGTCACTGACTATGTCTTTTGGTACACTGTGGCCACAAATCCAACCGGTGTGCAGGAGGCGTGCCAGCTCGGGAGCCGTGGAGTAGTATTTGCAAGAAAAAAAACGTGCGTACTTACTCAATCGGTCCACAACCGTGAGGATGCCGTCGTGCCCGAGCCGGTCGCGAGGGAACGGACCGGTGACGTCCATGGCAATGGAGAGACCGGGTTCCCGTAGGATAGGCATCGGGCGTAACTCGCCATAGGGATTGCGGTTGCGGGGTTTGCTGCGTCGGCAAACTTCGCAAGAGTCGCAATACCGAGTGACATCGGTAATGAGGTCAGGCCATCGGAATCGTTGTCGAAGCCGTGCAATAGTGCGGTTGACTCCGAAATGGCCGGCTAGTCGTGAGTCATGGTACTCCCCGAGAAGGCGAGTCTGAAGACGACGGTCTCGTGGGACACATAATAAGTCCTTGCCTCTCGAGTGGAGGAGCAAGTACCCGTCGGCAATGCGATAGTGGCTGGCCGGCGGGCGATCCGAAGATAGTTGTGCGTACAACGTAGCGAAGTCCGGATCAGACTCGTATGCCCAGATGAAGTGTCGCTGAAGCTCCTCGTCGAATGCGAAGGCATGATGTATCATAGCGCAAAGATCAGGTCTTCGCGAGAGTGCATCTGCTGCGCGATTTGAGAGGCCGTGAAGATGTTTCGGTGTGAAGTCAAATTGATCGATGAAGTACATCCATCGTCCGATCGTGCTGCTCACCGTATCCTGCGTCCTGGAGTAGGTCAATGGATTATTGTCTATAACCCATGTGAACCTACGACGCCCAAGGAGGAAGTGCCGCCATCGCTTGAGAGCCATGACGAATGTGAGCAGCTCCTTCTTCCTTGCATCATCAAGCGAGTTTATGGGAGGCACTTTGTGGCTGAAATACTCCACAGGGTGCCAGTCGTCGCCGTCGTGTTGTTCCAAGACTGCCCCAATGCCATAGCCGGAAGCGTCCGTAGTCACTCTCGTCGGCAGGATGGGGTCATAGATGCTAACGACGGGTGCCATGAGCATGGCCGTCTTAAGTGCTTGGAATGACCGGCATGCGTCGTCATCGAATATGAATGGTACCTTTGGCGATTGTAATCGCGTCATAGGTGCAGCAATCCTTGAGTATCCGATGATGAATCGCTGATAGTAGCCCGCCAATCCCATGAATGAACGAACGTTCATGGTGTTGGTGGGCTCGGGCCATACTCGTAGGGCCTCAATCTTGTCCGCAAGCGGACGGATGCCTTGCGGCGTCACATAATGTCCCAAGTACTCCAGCTCCTGCCGCGCAAATTCGCACTTGTCGCGGTTAGCTTTGTACTTGGCTTGTCGTAGCCGCTCCAAAACGGTGCGCAGGTGTTCCACATGCTCCTCCAAACTCCGGCTGTACACCAGGATGTCGTCAAGGTAGATAAGTACGTAACGATCCAGCATGTGTCGGAACTCCGTTGTCATAGCCGCTTGGAAATGGGCTCGGGCATTCGTAAGGCCAACTGGCATGACCAGCCATTTGAAATGTCCATATCGCATCTTAAACGCGGTCTTGTAGCGATCCTCCTTCCGAATCTCGAGTCGGTGATATCCCGACTTGAGGTCCAGCTTGGAGAAGAACTTGGCGCCGCCCAGTCGCTCGAGAAGATCGTCGATGCGTGGGAGAGGGCCGGCGTTTCTGATCGTCTGCTCGTTGAGCTTGTGAGAATCGATGCACAACTGCAAATCCTTGTTCTTCTTCCGGATGAAGAGAACAGGAGCACCGTATGGCGATGAGGTAGGCCGAATCCAGCCTTTCTCTAGAAGGTCGTCGAGTTGTGCCCGAAGCACACTTAACTCTTCCTCGCTCATTCGCTAGATGCAACCGCGTGGAGGTACGGCCCCGTCATCGAGGATGATCTCGTGGCGAATGGGTCGATCCGGTACTACTCCGTGCGGGCCTTAAAACACGTCGCTGTAGGCGTCGAGAAGTCCGGTGATGTGTGGATCCGAAGATGAGTCCATCGATGACGCGTCTTGGGGCAGGAGGGCATGGAGAAAATACACCCCCATCTCCTCGATGTCGTCTCTGATGATGGAAGCTCGCCTGCTTGCGGCGGATACCACGTGACAGCTGACCGAAGGGTGAGGAGGAGCTACCGTGCATGGGACTAGTACTCCGTTCCGATCACGAACGTGAACAGTGCGGCAGTAGAAGTTCACCGGGTGATCCCCGCTTCGCAGCCATGACATGCCCAAGATCATGTCGAATTTGGTGTCCAGAATGTCAAAGGACACCGCCTCACTTGCGTGAGGGGCAAAGTACACTAGGACGTCATCAATGCATCGTTCGATTGACTTGTGCGTGTGACCGTCCGCCAAAGTGACTTGCGTGGGATGGGCCTTCCTTCGGACTCGTGGGCCAAGGTCGGCGCGTACCATAAAGTCCTGACTCATGTAGTTGCGAGATGCTTTGCAATCGATCAAAGCGTTGCAGGTCGCCTCTCCAATCTGAATGCATACATATAGCAATGGTGCGTCGATGTCGTCGTACCGTTGCGTCTTGAACTCGCGGCCGATCTTCGCAATGTAGGCGTGAAGGTCAACAACCTCTACTCCGACGTCCATCAACGGAGTCGGTACTGTAGTGCGCAAGTAATCTCGCAATTGTGCCTTGAGCACGTTGCAATGCTATTTCGACAATCGACCGGACCGGGGCAGGGGCATCCATTGGAAGTCCTCAAAAGTCAACGGGTCGAGCTCTTCACGTCTTGACCATGACGTTGAATCCCCAGCGGTAGATGACAGCGAAGCTGCCGAATCGGTTGCCGATGGTGATGAAACCGTGCATGTGGTAGAGTTTTGCACGTGGAGTGGTTGGTCCAACGGTGGAACCAAGTGGACATCATAATCCTCATAAGTGTACTGAGGACTTGTGGCATGCGCATCCTCCCGAGATGTGTAGGAGGCCGCTAGCAAGGTGGTCAATCTGGCGGAGTGAGAGGTGAGGTCGCCTTACCTCCTGCGCAACTCAGTTTCCCGAGTTAAGACGAGGCCGCACATCCTCCTTGGCCTGATCCTGGCAAATGGAGGTCTTGTGCTTGGTGTTGTTGCACCAGTAACARCAGCCGTAAYGGTTGCGGTACTTGTACTCGGCCTCGGTCAAGCCGAACTTGACCCATGGTGGTGCCGGCTGTCCATTTCCGGCCGGCGATGCTGATTTCGCCTTCCCGTTCACTCGGGGCTTGATGTTGCTTCGCGGCTGGACAGCAACCACCTGATATCCCTCACGTGACGCTTGGGTGGCTGCTGGGTCTTCCACAGTGTCCAATTGGACTGCAGCGAACTGCTGCTGTCGCGGACCAGTTCTCACCTTCTCCACATAGGTTGGCTGCCACGTTGACTTCTCGTGTGCAACCGACCTATTGGTCTTGATGATCTCTCTTGCCTTGTCAATGATCTCGGCGAAAGTTGCATACTGCTCGTGATCACCAAGTGCCTGGCTCAGCGCAGCGCATGACCTGTTGTAGAACTCATGGCGTAGATGCGTGAATGGTAAGTCCAGATCGGGCACGGCCGCGATCTTCTGCCATTCCGTGAGCCTGTCACGTGTTGTTGTGTTGCCCTGAGACATGGTGAAGAGACGGTTGATGACAAGTGTTGGAGCGTCGTCGACGATGAACCGCTTCTTCCACAGCCATGTTAACTCTTCCCATGTGATCTTGTCCTACAGATCGGCGACGTCGACACTGTGGGTGGCTTCCAGGTGAGTCAACCAGATCTGGCATCCGCCCTTTGAGTTCATGAACAGGGCGCCGATGTACGAGTGCTTGGTGACAGGCAGAATCCGCAGTTGTGTCGTGAAAGCTTCCCACCAAAGCACCGGGTCCTGATGCGTATAGTCGTCGAACTTTTCCAGTTGAAAAGTTGGCATCTTGTATTGCTTAGGATTGTTGCCATCCGTGTTCGTCGACTGCAGTTGCTGGAACTCGGTCTTCAAAGTGTGCAGCTGATTGCTGATGGTGGTCGACGCAGCGAAGGTGCTGATGTCGCCGAGCATTGCGAGGACGTGGTCGACGCATTGCTCCAGTTGGCGGTTAGAGGGTGCACTGCTGGACTCACCAGCATCTGGTCCTGGTACAACTTGCTCCAAGTCCAGTACACGGAAATTGAGTGTCCGTGTAGCATCCTCGTGCCTCTGCACCATCCGGCGGAGGTTCGCCAACTCCTGGTGTTGTGTCTTCAGATCCTGGTACTGTTGCTGCAGTTCCTGGTTCTGTTCTCTAACTCGGACTGTTGGTGGTTGCAAGTGTACAACAACCGTGTCACGAGTTTGGAGAGGAACTCCTTATGTTGCTATTCCAGTATCGCGTCGTCGCCATTGGCCGGTTCAAAGTGCCAGAACTTGAGTCTGTCAACGCTGGCAGCTTCGTGCCGCTGCAGCAGAACCTGGGCCTCCTTGCGGCATGCCTGGGTATCAGTGTCTGCTTCGTCCTGTAGCCGCTGCTTCTCAGCTGTTGCCGCTGCTTCAGCCTGTAGGCAGGCAGCCTCAGCTGCCAGCTGGCGCTGTTCCCCAGCCTCGATGAGAGCGATCTGAGCCTGGAACCGCTTTTTGTAGTCGGCAAGAGACTCATTAGCTAGTTGGCCTTGCATGCCCAGAGCTGCGCCCGTTATGGTGGCAGGGCGCTGCTGACGTGGCACTAGACGTGGCACTGCTGACGTGGCACTGTTGCTTATGTAGCACTGTGATGTGGCACTGCTGACGTGGCATTGTTGCTTACGCGACACTGTGACGTGGTACTGTTGCTTACGTGGCACTGTGACGTGGCACTGCTGACGTGGCATTTCTTACGTGGCACTGTTGCTTACATGGCACTGCTTACGTGGCACTGTATCAACCCGGAAATGCATGCAAAGATTGTGTGGGGAGGGAAAACGCAGGTAGGGAACCAACCCGACAATACTTTCCTCCCGGCCCTAATCAACAGATAAAATAAATAAATAAATAAAAGAGGACTACTTCCTTTTTTTTTTTTTTTTAATCTGTCGATCTGGTATGAGTGAGACATGTCAGAAGAGTACTATAAACGAGCTCTAGGCTAGGTTCCGCAAAGTTTCGGCTTTTACAAAATGCGATATTGTAAAAAATTTGCGAGGTAGAATAAAAGAACTAAATCCCGTTTCTGATAATATGGCAACCTTCGAATATGCCTATCGAAATATTGGTAGGCTTCGCAAGATTTCGGTTTTCAAAAAAAAAAAAAATTGCAAGATAGAATGAAAATTCGATTTTTAGAAAAAAATAATTCCAGTTTCCGAGAATATGACCACTTTTATCGTTATCTCAATATGCCTAGAGAACGAAATACTAACATCATAAATTTTCAACTATGTATGCGAAATATCAGAGAAACGAAATGCTACTATCGGGAATTTTCAGACAAAACGAAATGCGATTTATCAGAAATTTTCAGATATTTGTTACGTAGAAACGAAATACTAATATTACAAATTTTCAGGTAAAACGAAATGCGAATATCAAAACTTTCAGATAGTTGTTGCAAGAAAAAAAAAAATTCAGAGATTTGACGAAGTCCTGCTTGATTTACGAACGAGTAATCAATAGATCAAGCAAGCTGGCTATTTGATTGAGCGGGTCCTGACAATGAGAGGTCCGCTCCGATACCAAACTGTTGCATACTGTAACGGTGCAGACCAGAACAAGAACCGACCTCTCAATACAAAGTATAAGATAGCACAGCGGAAGACTTTGATACCAATGATCCGAACAATCAATATTGCAATGCAGCCCTGAACATACATCATCATCATCGTTACATGGTGTGAATGGGGTCTGGCGCTTCACACAGGAAGACTGCGCCAGCCCCTATCATACACAGACGAAGAAGAAGGGGGGTTAGACGAAGAGGAGGGGAAGATGGGAATGTCGTCAACACCAAGTCTTCGGCACAGCCCAAATAGTCCCTCGTCGAAATGTATGAATCCCGAATGTCAAGTCTGGATCCAATGTCGTCAAGTCCCAAGTCACAACTCTCTCTCTGTAGTAGTCCGCTAATACTAAGAAGTCAGATGGTGAGAGGGGAAGAAGAGATCGTGGACTTAGAACAAGAGGAATAAGAACTTTTTCTCTCTCTCTCTCTCTCTCTCTCTCTCTCTCTCTCTCTCTCTCTCTCTCTCTCTCTCTCTCTCTCAGTCCAGTACTAACCTGTGAAGTTGGCGCCTTGATGCAGGTACCTCGAAGATGGAGCCGGAGCTATGGCGCCACAGGTAAGTCTCGCTGGCCTCCGCCAGCCATCTCTCCCAACTCTACTATCTACCACCTACTAGCGCCCAACGCTGAAGACTACTGCTATGTCTACTGGCGCCCAGCGCTGAAGACTACTGCTAGCGCTAAGCAACTCCCTGCAGCGCTCCTCCTGAGTGCTGCGCTGAATCCTGAAGACTACTCGTGCCTACTGTCCAACTACCTACCCGTGAAGTGCATGGGACTCTCCTATGTACTACTCGGGTGTGCCTCCTGACTGCAGGCGAGCAATCCAGGAGGCTGCTCTTGCCAATGCCGAAGGGAGTCAGGGGCTGCAGCTGCAGCTCCTGCTCGAGCTGGCGTGGGGAACAGGCTATTTCTGGCCTGTTCCCGAAACCCTGTTTCAGTGCCTGAGTCTTAGGTAGGTTGAACACAATGAGGGCCTGAAAATGGCCCTCCGTTTCAGGCTGAAAAGCCTCTGGGCCTGAAAGGCCCAGAAATAGGCTGAAACGGAATAGGGCCTGCAGGCCCTCGTATTTCAGCTTTCAGGCTGAAACGATCGGGGCCTATAAGCCCTAAGTTTAAGGCTTTTAAGCTGAAAGTGCGGGACGGATCCTGCCAGGGCCCGTGTGGCTACGCAGTATGCCACACTTGTGTCTGGCCGCATTGGTTTCTGCAGATGGTGCAGCTGAAGAGGAAAGGATGCTGACAATTGATTGTAATTGTTATGTTGGCCGACTTACTCACATGTCTAGGTTGTTCTATGGTTGTCGTGCATACTCACATGTGTTGTTGTGTTTTGATCACACTGGTCATCGTTGGGGTACCTGTGCACTCTCATTAGGACGTCATCACACATAGGACGGAGTCCGACAGAGAGCAGAAGTTAGAAATAGGATTAAATTGAAATTTGTTCCTTCTTTATTTTTGTTATTTATTTCTTGCTCTAGGAGAGTGAAACCGGGTCACGGCGGGTGTGGCCGTGAAATTTATTATTGTCTTGTAATTATTTATTGTGCGGCGAACACACATTGTGAAAATGTCTTGCTCGTGTCTCTCTATCTTGACTCACTTCATTCCTCTGTTTCTCTTTCTTGTCTCTTTCACCTTCTTTGCTGATGAGGAAGGTGGCGAAGTAAGAACACGTAGCCAAATTGTAACGTGTGTTGCACCCTGTACGTCGTAAGGGGCTCTGATCGTACGGACGGTCGTATGGCTGTATGAACGGTCCCGTACAGACTGACGAAACCCTCCCAAAAAAAATAAAATAATAATAATTAAAAAATATGGGGATGTAGAGTTTTTCGTGCTCTACACCCCCATATTTTTTATTTTATTTTTTGGCCTTTTATTTATTTTCAAAGTACAAAAATAATCAAAACGGGAAAAAAAAAAAAAGAAATAAAAATGAATTCATTAATTGATTGATTGATTGATTGATGTACGAGGCTTATGCCCCTATAAGCCCCTTTCAGGCCCTGCCAAGTATCACGTCGACCGCCCTAAGTGAAGGCAGGCACGACGAGGGCCTGAGGGCCCCTATTTTGGTCACCACACAACTCAAGGAAATTCAGGCAGTTGCGCAGCGCCAGTTGGTTGGAAGAACCCACGCCCTGGGCAGCCTGTTTTTGGCACTGTTTGAATTTATGGAAGGGAGGCCCTGGGCTGGATACGGGATGTGGGCCTAACACCGGCCGTTGACAGTTGGACATGAGCAACCACTACCGGAAGCTTCTTGGGAAAGGTTCAGCGCAGCCAGGCAGGCCACTTCCATATAGCAAAGGGCCTGCCTCCGCATTGGAGATTCGGGTGTTGGCTGCATGCTGCACAAGCACTGCTGCTCTGAAGCTGGTTGGCGTTCACACGCTCACGGGCGAGCAGGAAGGAGCAGGCAGCCATAGCCGAGCTGCGCTGCTGTAAGCTAGGTGTGGCGCAGGGTGGTCCTTGGGTGCAAGTGGCATCTGTGTGTTCGGGAACGAGGTTGTGAGTGAGGCGGGAGACATACCTGGTGCTGGAAGCGTGCGACATTGGTCGCTGTATGCTCGAACTTCGGGGAAGCTGTTGACGTCATCTTCGGCATTGTAGTCTAGGCTAGATAGGATCTGCCATTTGTAGTCTGGGCACCGAGCGCCAGATAGGATATCAACATTGGTTCTTCATTGATGATGGTGATGAGACTTTACCAGCATTGTCAATTATGAGCTCTTGGTGTGTTCTTATTTGCTGAAACTCGTGATGCAATTTTGTTGTTGGTTCGAGGTCACGACTATCTGGTGTTGTGTATATGATGCTGTTTGATTGCTGAAGTTCGCTATTGCTCATCTTCCTTGCAATTTGGTATCAGAAATGTGGTACGATTGCGCTCATCTGGCGCTTGTCTTCTGCCTAATGCGGTACATACATGCGGTCTGCTTGGTGAGTTGGGCCGTAAGTGGTGTGTAGTAAGGAGAGCGGAGAGAATATTTGGTGTGTAGTGAGTTGGGCCGCCGGAGACAAGTAACAGGCGACCTAGGAGGTGAGGGGATTGCCAGAAAGGCTACGTGATGTAATGTGGGTCTGGACAGTGTGATGAGAACTATCTGATGTGCAATTGGTGCTGAGGTGGCATGGCATGCAATGCTGGTTGTGCCGAAGCAATGACTGGTCATCACAATCGGCGTAAGGTCATCTAGTGAGATTATCTCTGTAGTTGGGGGCAGTTGTTTGACGTACGTTGCTCTTAACCTTATCTACCCTCTTCAACACTTCTTACCGTGCGGTTGTGTGTTCCTTCTTGAGAGTCCTCTCATTGTGAGGTGTCGAGTGCGCTCAACCTTGAGAGTCTGCAATGTTCACGTGGAGCATCTGGGAGAAGATGGGCGGAGCTTTCTGAAGGGCCCTGGACGAAGCACTGGGTCACTGTCACCATGCCAACCCATCGGGAGTATAGCACGCATGCTTTGCTGCTTGTGCTTTGCTCGGCTTGCTGCGCTGTTAGATGGGTACCGAAGGGCAGGCCAGCCCTACGTGGGAGACTAGACCGGGCGTCTTTAAATAAGCATCGAAAGGGGAAACCATTGGCTGTGGTCGTCGTCCTGCTGCGACGTAAAGTAATTCCTGATGACACTTGGGGACGGTCGTTAAATTGCCTCTGGATCAGCCAATGGTTGTAAGGCTCGTGCACACGAGGATAAACACAGTGCAGGGTTGGCCGGCTCAGCAGCTACTCGGGGCACAGCGGTGGGCCGTGCACACCTTTAGTCACACACTGCTCTCTGGACAGCTCAGGGACACTGACGTCAAGTGACATTCAGAAGAACTAAGGGAGGGGTAGATTTCAGGTGATAAGTTTGAGAAATTTTCCATAGTATCCTCATCCACACAAATGATTCTATTTTTATGTTTTGATTAGTTAGATGTACAACCATTTAACATCTGACAGACAACATAATTAGAATTGTCTCTAATCATTGTGCATTTTGCTCGCGGACTCAGACTAAAAATAGTTTCGTTTGTAGGAATCTGACTTACCTGTTGGGCCCGAGTGTACGGTCTCTATTATTGCCATCAATTAATTTTATTGGTTTACGCATGACACTGTCGTAGGCATCTAGAGTGTACTAGTGCAGATTGTGTGCAGTGTTGTAGCTTATGAGCGATAGGAAGGAGACTAGAGAGGACGACCGACTCTTGCGTTCACGTAGCCGTCCGATCGCTCACTTGGCTTAAGGACCAGAGGGCGACCGATATCTGTTCCGCGAGCTTAGAGGGAGGCAGCAGCAGCAGACGAGGGCTAGAGCAGCGGAGGCTAGCAGGGCGCTCGTAAGTGAAGCCGCAGCTTTAGAAGCAATGGCTACCTCTGCGGAGCAGCCTTTTCAGGCAGGTAGTTCAGCATCTTTAGGGTCAACAAGCTCTGCAGGGTCTACCGACTTTGTAGGGTCAACGGTTGCGCAGACTTTGAGTCAGTCCGCTGGTGTTATGGCAAGCCAGCCATTAGTGATGACTCCCGAGGAGGTCGCCATACAGCGAGTTGCTGCTCGCGAGGCACAACTACAACCGGCTTTAGGAGGCAATGATTAGGAGAAGGGTCAAGATGCAGCGGACGCAAGAGGACGTCAGTGAGTTGGAGGAGATTTTCCCAGCAGAAATGGAGGATGATGTGAGAACCATTCGGTCGGTCCTGTTAAGTGTGGTGGAAATGCAAGATCACCAGACGGAGATCTTACAGGACATCCAACAGAGCTTGGGTGTGTTAGTCGGGCGGATGCAGGCGTAACTATCACCGTCCGGGCTAGGTGCCTGGCCCGTTGCACATCCTCCTCCTTTTGTCCCACCGGTGACTGGGGTATCCCCATATACAGCCCCAGCATCGGTTCAGACCGTTTCCCGGGGCATGCCGTTTTCAGGAGGGCTCTCATTAGGTCCTAGTTTGCAGGTTCGTGTACAGCAACTTTATTTCCAACCTCCGTTGCAGATTGCAATTACAACGCAACCTGCTGTCTCGCAGCCTGTACAGCCGCATGGTACACAGCCCCCGCAGCCAGTGCAGCCGCCTATATCACAGGGTCCACAGCCCAGTGGAATGCAGGGACCGGACAAACTCAGTGGGTACCAAAGACGGTCATAGCCGCTTGGTTGAGGGTAGTGCTGGTCTATGTCAAGTGTAAAATCACCTTGCCGCACGAGGAAGTGTTTGTGGCTGCATCTTACCTAGAGGGTAGTGCAGCAAGATGGTTGAGTGGTTTAGTACAGCTGCAGGGATACGGTCATGACTTTCGCGCTTGGGCGGTCACCCAGCAATTGGATGACTTCCTCAAGTTGGTGGAAGAAATGTGGCATGATCCTTTGGAGGCCCAAAAGGCCACTGATGCGATCCTGACCCTGCACACGAGGCAGTTCAAGTCAGCGAGGGAGGCCACCGACGCTGTAGATGATCTATGTCCCTGGGTGCGCTATGACCCCCAGGTTTTACTCACCTCCTACCTGAGATGCTTTCCTATGCCTCTCAGGAATCAGTTGGCAGGTGAGGCCAACATCAATGTTCACAGCTTTCCCTCGTTTAGCAAGAACGCCCTAGACCTTGAGGCGAAGATAGGGTATGGGCAGGCACCCACTATTGATGGTAGGAGAAAGTCACTCCCTCCCAACTGGAAGGGGAAAGGTCGCATTATGTTTGTCGATAACGATGGTTCAACCGTTGAGTTAGACATCAACTATGAGGAGGGAGTAGGTTCAGAGGTTGGCAGCGTTGAAGCTTCAGGGGGTGGAGTTGTCACTGTCGTAGCTCAGAAAGGTAAGGCGACCGGTAGACGCCGAATCGGGTCCCGGTCAAGGAGTCAAGTTGACCCCAATGCTTCCCCATGGGAGAAGGCGGGTCTGACCGAGGATGTGTGAAGAGATCGGTACACACGGCATGCTTGCATTCGTTGTGGTGAATATAATCATAACCAATTCAAATGTCGTAGTAATAAGAAGGTGACTGAGAAGATCCCGCCTACTATGGGGCAGGCGTTGGGATCCTCCCATCCCGTCGGTAGCAATGTAGCTAGTACTTCTAACACTGCTCCGGGAAACACGTCGGGCCAGTAGGAATAGTAGTTGTTCCTCCTAGCGTCGAGGTGGTGAACACACCCTCACCATCTCGAGACATGACCCAAGCTACTGACTCCAGCGTCGTCCCGCAAACACATTTGGACCCATCGAGCCTCTGTTCGATGAATGTGTTTGAGTCGTTAGAGGAGCTAGAGGAGGATTGGTCTAGATTAGACCCACTAGCTTCTTGGACGGCATTGGTCAAAGCCCCGAAGGGTGAGATGTTCGTCAGCGAGGTGGTCATTGGCGCTCGCAAGGCCAGGGCCTATTATGACACTTGCTCGACTAGGAACTTCATTAGTCGCGCGTGCGTTGAGAGGTTGCGCTTACAGGGGCAAGTGCAGCGCATGAGTCGACCTGTGCCAACAAACAGCGCATGGTAGTCAACGACTACCTCGAAGATGCTGAGTGTTGTTTCCCGTACGTGGGGGGGGAATTCCAACAGAAAAAATTCCTAGTATTAAATAATCATTCTAGAGTAAAATTACATTATGAATTCCAAATTTTCATTCCATCTGAAAAAATGTAATTCCAATTTTAAAATTTTTCGTCTTACTTGAAAACTTTCCTTCCAAGAATGGGGTATCCCTTCTTATTTAAACTGCATGCTAATGAGTTCATAAAATATTTTAATTGGACTGTCATACTAAGTCAGGATTTTCAGTAATAAATAGGTTAATCCAATTTAAATTAAACGATATTTCTTGTAATAGAATGAAAGTCTAATTAAAACATTTTATAAACTCGTCTAGACTTTCATTCCATCTTGAACAAATTGATGTAGTTGGAAGGGAAAGCTCATATTTAGACGGGAACTTATCAAATTAAATTAAAAATTTTAGAATTTGATAAACATTGGAATGATAATTTATAAATATGAAGGATTTTTTTTTTATGGAATGGGAATTTTTCTGTTGTTAGACATCGCGTCTCGTTCCTAGTGAGTGGCGAACTTCCCATGGATATGTTGTTAGGTATGTACTACCTCTCTGTGGCACAGCCCCATTTTGACTGGGACCGAAAAGTGGTCAAAAACACTTTGCCACTTGGAGGGACCGCCAGATTGCATAAGTTCAAAGCTAGTAGTCTGATTGAGTCCCACGGATGCATGAGTGCGGCCGCGTTTTATAATTATTATAAGCAAAATCAGGAGGAGGGTATGTACCTAGTTTATGTCTCTGTTGCAGGCGAGCCGGTTAAAATGTCGCTGGAGATAGAGGGAGTAGTTGCTAAGTACCCTGATCTATTTGAAGAGCCGACAGGGGTTGTTGAGAGGGAGGTCGTCCACGCGATAGAGATTATCCTAGGGTCTAGTATCTCAAAGGTAGGATCTATCGGATGTCTTCAGGCAAGCTCGATGAGCTTCGCCAACAACTCAAGGAACTCGTAGAGAAGGGTTGAATCCGACTTAGTGTTTCTCCTTATGGGTCTCCAGTACTATTCGTACCTAAGAAGAAGGAATTTCAAGGAACACATAGGATGTCCATTGACTATAGGGGCATCAATGTCATCACTGTAACAACCTTCAGGTATGGGTAGGGGCTGAAGTAACCCATACGGAAGGTGGCCCACACTGTTCACCTCCTGGCAGGTAGGACACTCCTGGATGTAGGCTTTGACAAAGTCCTTGGACTTCGGCCTGACGTATAGGCGACAAACACGAGCCAACGTCTTGTGGAAACCCATATGACCGGCAGCTGCCTGGTCATGGAACTCTGCTACAGCCGGTGGAGGGAACGCTGATACGTGGTTCTAGCTAACCAGATCTGCCATGCCAGTATACGAGGCCGTTCTCCCCGAGGGAGTAGGAAGGGACGGTCTTGCCACTCCGCAGTGTCGCGTGGATGACGCGATAATCGGGGCAGTGGCAGTACTAAGTGCTATACGCGTCGATCACCGACTGATCAACAGTGGTGATGGAGATGGCAACAAGCTGGATGGGTTCCTGATTGTGATCAGGACGGCGGAACAAGGCATCGGCGGCGCGGTTCGTTTCACCCTTAATGGGCTGAGTGGTGAAAGTGATTCGGATAAGTCACGCCACCAACGTGCCTGTCGAGGGGAAAGCTTAGGCTTCGTGAGGAAAGCCTCGGCAACTGAGTTGTCTGTGCGCACCGTGAAGGGCGCCCCGTGCAGATAATGACGCCAACGCCGGGTAGCATAAACTACTGCGAGAACCTCACGTTCATCGGCAGTGTAGTTTATCTCGGCAGGCAGTAGCTGACGGGAGTAGAAAGCGATCGGACAATCCCCAGCACGAGCCTCGACAGTCGCATCCTCCGTGATGGTCGGGAAGTAAGTAACAGGAGGACTGTCAGTGGATGGAAGCGGTGGGAGGGTAGGCGTCTGTTGAGAAGCAGTGTCAGCAGGAGGGGGGGGGGAAGGAGGAACATGGGGGTAAGGTGAATCTGGAGGAGAGGGAAACACCTGAGAAAGGACAGCTCCTACTGCAAAATCTGACGCATCGGTGGTGACGATAAAGGGACGATAAAAATCAGGAAGGCGAAGAACTGGCGCACACGTCACCGTCTTCTTGAGGGCGCGAAAGGCGTCCTCGCACAGGGGTGTCCAAAACCATGGCGGGTTCTTCCGGAGGAGGGTAGAGGTAAGGACGTAGGAATACCTAGCGTATCCCTGGATAAAATTACTATAGTAGCTGGTGAGGCCTAGGAAACTGCGAAGCTGCTTGACAGATGTGGGGACGGGCCACTCTGCAATAGCAGTGATCTTCGCGTTGTCCATGTGGAGACCCTGGTCAGACACATGGTGTCCTAGGAAGTCCACTTTGCACTGGGCAAAGCGGCACGTACTGAGCTTGGCATAGAAGCCATGCTTGCGTAAGCGATGTAGGACATCGCGGAGGTGTCTAAGATGGTCTTCTAAGGTACGACTGTAGACCAGGATGTCGTCCAGATATACGAGAACGTATTCTTCAAGGATGTCCCTGAAGATGTCGTTCATCGCCGTCCGGAAGGTGGCGGGTGCATTGGTGAGGCCGAATGGCATCACCGTGAACTCGTAGTGGTCGAAGCGCGATCGGAAGGCGGTTTTCGGTTGATCCTCTGTGGCAACGCGGATCTGGTGGTAACCGCTACGAAGATCGATCTTCGTGAAGAAGCGGTTGCCTGCCAGACGGTCAAACAGCTCATCCGCGCGGGGCATGGTATAACTGTTCTTAACCGTGTAACGGTTAAGGCCGCGGTAGTCGATGCAGAGGCATAGAGTTCCGTCCTCTTTCCGAGCAAAGAGGACAGGTGCACCCCAAGGGGAGTTACTGGGTTTAATGAAACCCAGTCGAAGGAGCTCCTCAAGCCGACGCTTGAGTTCCGACGCCTCTGGAATCGAGAGTCGGTACGGTGCCTGATGGTGAACACGATAGTCAGGCACGAGCTGGATAGAATGCTCAACACCGCGCATCGGGGGAATCCCGCTGTATGAGAAATACGGGGGGAAGACGTCGCGGTACTCTCGAATCAGGTCACGAACGGCGGGCTCTAAGTCTGCCATGAACCGTGTGAGTTCCTCAGCATCTGCGTCGGCACGAGACGTATGTGTGGACTCGACAGCCGACGGCTCAGGGGCCAGGGACGTGGAGGGGGTATCCGCAGGTTGACGGGTGGACGTAGAGATGGGAGCAGCAAAGATGGAGAAAGGGTCAGGGGGATCGGGCTTAAGAGAGATGAGGTCAACCTCGGGACAAAGTGGATCGTAGCAAAGAAGATCCATGACGTTCACTGAGTAGAACGTGATGTACTCCTGTCGTATGAAGTGAGCGAACTGACGAGGGGAAGTGAAGGCGATGTCGGGGTGAGACCTTGATGGACGAGGGTCACGGGGAGGTAGGTCGGGAGGCGTGTCGCCCGTGGTTCCAATGAAGGGGACGCGATGGGTCTGACCACACTTCGTTTTGAGAACGGGTGTCTTGGTCGCCCATTCGGCCTCTGTGCAACGGAACCGGCGAGACCAGGGAGTGCCAAGGATAAAGTCGTACCCAGTCTCCAACACATCGAAGTATCCGGAGGAATTGTAGTGCCGAGGCGCCTGGGTACTATCCGGTGGCTAGAGGGTGAGGGACAACTGGAGGTCGGGGACCGTCTGATCGAAGCAGCGCCGCGTCTTGTTATCTCCGAGGGTAACGGAGATAGGAGAGCAAGACCCAGAGGTAGCTAGGCGAGCTTCCTCAACCACTCGGGGGTGAACGAAATCTCCCTGCGAGCCAAAGTCCCATAAAGCGCGGTACACCCTCGTAGATGTCCGATCAGGGTCAGAGAGCAGAGTGAGAAGACGACACAGGACGTTGACGTGCCTCGTGAGTCGCTACTAACGAGCCTGCAAAATGCTCAAGTCCAGGAGAGATGACACAACGTCATCGTGAGTCGCCAGCTGAGTGCTACAACGGGCTGTGCGAATGGGACAACGCGTCGGAAGTCTCGGGGGAGAAGCGCTAGATGTGGCGGTCTGCGGGGAGGCAGTCAGTACCTCGACAGACGACGGGGCAGAGAGAACTGCGTTTGTCGTATCCTGAGGGTCCTCTAGTGGGGTAGCCAAAGGGGCAAACCGTGACTCGGTGGTCGGGAAGCCGGCTACGTGCGAGGCCTTAGGGGTACACCGCACCGTGGCTAGCTGGGTGGGGCTGGTCGCGCGGGGCCAGGGGGGGACTGACATCGACGCTGACGAGAAATGTTAGCGTAGTACCGATCGAGGGTGGTGTGGTATGGACACCGTGAGGAGGTGTGTCGATCCTGGCGGCAACGAAGGCAGCCTCGTCGGGCCTCGAGGGCGGCACGCTCCTCAGGGGATAGAGCTCCGCGAGGAGGGACAAAACCCTGCGGGAGGTCTATCTGAGGAACTGTGGGTGTGCGGGCGCCAGCTTGTGCAACCCGACTGCGTGCACGACCCATGGCAGACATGGCCATTTGCAAGCGCTCGGCCATTGGGACAATGTCGTCATCCAAGTGGTACTGGATGACGTCCCGAAGCCTGATGTCCTCGGGGGCATCCCCAATGGTAGGATCGAGCTCGGCTGAGACGTCCTCTCCATACTCGAGAGAACTGTAGTGCTGAGCGAATGGCGCTCCAGGTCGAGCCAAGCGACGAAAACGACCGGCAAACAAGGAGCGGCCTCGGGTGGTACCCCGAGAATGGGAGGTGGCGGCTGGCTGCGAAGACGATGTGGCGACGGAGAAGCGACTGCACATCCTCTGGTACTGACGTGCAGCCTCGTATGCCTGCTTCGCATAAGAGAATGATCGCCTCCATAGCTCTAGGCGGTAGTCAGTCGGCAGGCTGACAAGGAACCGGTCGGTGAGTGTGACCTCCGGTAGGAACGTCTCATCACAAACAAGGCGAGCGTCCTGAAACACCCGGATGTGACGCTCGAGGTCGGCCGGTACAAAGGACCCGGACCATCTGGTCTGGGTGACGTGGTCTAAGGCGTCGGTGGTGTCATGACAAGCGCCAAAACGGTCCTGAAGGAAGGCCGCGAAGTCGGCCAAAGTGGGGACCTCACCCACGCGAAGGCGCTGGGTATAATGATCCTTCCCCACAGTGGAAGGGCTACCTCGCAATTTGGTTGCGAGCACATCGCACCACAACTCCTGACAAGTGGTCGTCATAGAGAGCGTGCGCATTGCTATCTGCAACCAGCGAGAGACACGGGATGTGCCATCACACTCGGGAATGTCCGTGGTGCGCACAGGAGGATGTCCACTGTGCTGATGGCGGGGGGAGAGAGATCGAGGCGAGTGCACTGCGGCAGCGTAAGTCGATGCCGCTGTGGGCCGTGGCCGCTGGCGGATGGACCAGCAGACGAGGAGGCATTGGCCGCGGGTAGCTGTCCCGGAATAGCCAGGTAGGAGGGAAGAGGCTGAGGAGCAGGTCGAGGGAAACGAGCCTGCATCATGGGGACCGAAGGTGTGGTAGAGGAAGAAGGGTGGGCAGCCTGTAATGGGTGAGGTTGTCTCAGAGCGAGAATCTCCGCCTGAGCCTGCGCAATAGTGGCCTGTAAAGTGGCCACTCGCTGGGTGCGCGGGGTCGGAAGTGGAGGGGGCGGAGCGGGTCTCCGTGTGGGAGGAGGAATCCCAGCCTGGGTGGTACCCTGCTGTGGGGGCGGGGCGACGAAGGCAGGAAGAAGAGGGCGAAGCCGTATTGCCGCGACCGGTGCGGGAAGCTGGGAAGCAACACCGGTGTGGGTCGATGAAACTGTTGGGCTAGAAGGCGGTACCTGGACCGCAGCACCTACGGCAGTAGCTGAGACGGTAGGGGCGGCCATGGCCGGAAGAACTGCCGCAATGGACGGGGTGGTCTGAGCGGCAACAACATTCGCCACCGCTAAGGGGGAGTGTTGGGCCTGGCCCACAGAGGAGGGAGAACCATGGTGACTCCGTCTCCGGAGTCCTGGGGAGCCGGAATCGGAGCCGGTAGGGGAAGGGGTGTGAGAGCGGTGGGGAGAGCGATAAGGGGAGCCCTTGAGGCGGTTGACGTCAAGGGCTAGCGCATTGATTTGCGCTTGCAACGGTCCAAGCGTACTAAGTTGTGCCTGGATTGCTATAAGGATGGCATGAAGGTTCATGGTGTCCGCATGGGCCTGATCATGAGTCGCTGACGATGCGCTGACCTGGGGTGTAGACAGCGTCGCGGCGATCTCCTCGGATGAACTCCCTTCCATAGCCGGAAGGGGAATGGAGGAAGTCCTCAGAGGAGTGTGTGGCGAAAGGGGCCCACCGGTAAGAGGAAGGGGACCGCGGGAGCGGGGTGAGTATGTGTGAGTCGGCTCGCCTCGGATCTTGCGGGTCGCGCGTGAGACGAAGGCGCCGAACCGCTCGAGGGGGGAGGAGCCGTCCAGGTCCAGGGTGTCCGACGGGAGGAGGCGGGAGAGTAGGAAGGGGGGCGGGAGTTAGGAGAGCCCTAAGCCCTAGAAAACCCTGAGAAAACCCTAACCGGAGTTTAGGTGGTTAGTGGAGGGTAGCGGCGACCTAATCAAGAAAAAAGATAATATGGAAGGGAGGGGGAAAGAAAATAGAATAAACAATAAAATTTCGAGATAAAAATAAAATAAAAGAAGAGATAAAAATAAATAAAGAAATAAAATGTAAAGAGCGAGGGAAGAGGACTTATTTATTTTTTTGAAAATTTCGGCAGCATTTTTTTACCTCAACGAGGTTAAAATGTGCAAAGAGAAAGGAGAGACTAAGAGAAGCACACTAATTTTTACAATGCCGCAAATTAAAATTTTCAAAAAAATAAGTAAATAAATAAATAAATAGATAAATAAATAAGGAGGTGGAGGAGAGTGAAGAGAAACTAACCAAGTTTTAGATTTTTCACAAATTTCGGCAGCACTTCGTTACCCCCACGGGGTCAAAATGTGTGCCGAAAGCAAGAATGGCTAAGTCCTAATCAGATTTTAGGGTGCCGCAGAAAAATTCAAATTTTCAAAATAAATAAATAAAAATAAAATAAATCAGAAAGATAAGAAAAGAAGTAGGGAAGAAGAAAATTCGAATTTTTGGAGGAACGGAGAAAATTTAAATAAAAAGAAAGAGAAAAGAAAAAAAACAGGTGGGAAAGAGAAAAGATTGAAGTGGTAGGTGAGGGAGATGATGGGGTTGTAGTTGGGGGAGGAAAGGAGGAGAGGAGGGTGAGAGAACGAGAAAGAAAGATATGGAAAAGGTGAAGAAAATAGCGAGAGATTAGTAAAAGAAGGTGAGTGGAGAGAGAGGAGAGAAAAAGATGGTGGGAGATGAGTGAAGAGGGAAGGGTATGAGAGATTAACGGGAAAGAGAGGAGAGAAGTAGGGAAAAGAAGCAAGGAGGGTGAGGCTGGGAGAGGAGAGAGTACAAATATGGTAGTGGATGGAGAAAGAGTGAAGGGGATGAGAGATTAGTGGGGAGAAGAGGAGAGAAATGAGAAAAGTGGAGAGAGGAGTGAGAAAAGGTGATGGATGAGTGGTGGTGAGATAAAAAGAAGGTCAGATGATGAAGGGGAGAGAGGGAAAAGGSAGTGGGAGAGTGGATTAGGGATGAGAGAGGTGATACCCAGCTCTTGGGTAACCAAGAGCATACAACTTCACCAAGATCCACAAGATCTTKGCCTTCACACACCCCTTGGRAGAAGGGGTCTTCAAGGTGGTGATGAACTGCTGCTGCACATTATCTGGGGTTGGCTGAGATCTTGATCAGCCACCCAGTTCCACTGTAGTGCAGCCCCCTAGCCAGGGGGGTCTTCAAAAAAAAATCCTCATCAAACTGCCACGTGGCACTTTTGGAGATGGTCACGGGTCAAGAGAGGAGATGTAGAGGGCAAAAACCCTTTTGCCAATAACGTTTTACCCGCTGGGTGAAATTTGGCAAAAGAGGTCTTGTTGGAAAGCTTTTTGAAAGCCGCTTCCAACGAGATGAGGCGCAGCATCAGCCACTGCCTAGAATAATAGCGCTCGTTGAAAAAACGAGCGCGGGTGATTTTTTTGGAGCTCTTGAAACGCTCGCGATCTTTGAAAGATAGTAGCTCCTCAACCACCGCACAGAATTAGGCGATCTATAGCTTGTTGGAAGCGGCTTGTCAATAAATTTCCGCGGAAGGGTTTAAGCCAGATGACGCGAAGGTGGCCAGCATTCGTGACTGGCCGCATCCTCAATCTGTGACTGATTTGAGGTCTTTCTTAGGGATGACCAGCTACTATCGCAACGTCGTGAAGAACTATAGCAGAGTTGCCGCCCCTTTGACTGATCTGACCCGCCTTGACACCCCATGGGAGTGGACTAAGAGATGCGAGGCTGCTTTCAGACATCTGAAGCATGCGTTGACGCATTATGAAGTCTTGAAACTTCCAGATCCTTATAGTGACTACGGATGCTAGCCAACATAGGCGCCGTACTTGCACAACAGGAGGGGGAAAAGTTGAGGCTAGTTGAGTACATGTCTAAGAAAATTCCCTCTCAAAAGTTGGCTAAGTCCGCCTATAAGAAGGAACTCTATGCGGTTTACAACGCTCTGACCCATTGGAGGCACTATCTCCTTGGGAAGTTCTTCATCCTCAGGACTGATTATCAGACACTTAAATGGATGAGAACTCAACCGGTGCTCTCTGACGCTCTGAAGCGTTGGATTGAAGCCATAGAGCAGTATGACTTCAAGCACCAGTACATCAAGGGCTAGTACAACAACAATGTTGATGCCTTGTCACGTAGACCTGATTTCTAAGGTGTGCTGATTACTGAGTTCAATCTTGTGGACAATGTTACTCAGTCTTTGGTGGAAGCCTATCGCGAGGACCCTTTTATGGCCGAGATCATACGCAGACTCGAGGCAAAGGACAAAGAGACTTCTGCTGAGTTTGAGTTGGTCAACAGCCTGCTGTTCCTTGAGAAGGCAAGGAATAAACGTTTGTGTGTGCCTAACAGTGTCGTACCACCGGTCGCCGTTCACAGGGTCCGTGTACGAAACGCGGTCACTGTTCACAAAAATCGTGACCGCCACTCGTTCACGGAGTTCACAGTGAGCGGCGAGGTGGTTGTTGTTTTTTTTTGGCTAAGGGGGTCCCTTTTTTTTCGTGCAGGTGTGTAGAGCATGACGGGGGTAGTTGCCTGTATTTTTTTTTTTTTCTGGTACAATTTAATATTTTTTTCATTAAAAACAAAATAAAAATATCGTCTGTGCTTGGCAGGCTGCGTTAAAAAAAAAAAAAAAAAAAAAAAAAAAAAAAAAACTCCCGCGCAATGACGTTGTGGATGCGGAATCGGCGAAGAAAAAAAAAAAAGCACTTTCTAAGTCGCGTTCAAGTCGGATGTTTGCTCAACTTTGCTGCGAATAAAGCCGCAGCGGCCCGCTCGTGCTACTATGATGCGCAATGCCATCCATTTGGATCAGGTCACGCGCTCGCGCGCGCGCGCGCGCGAGAGAGAGAGAGAGAGAGAGAGAGAGAGAAAGAGAGAGAGCGAGAGAACGCTTGTTCATCGCTGTGAACACTCGTGTACGAACGAGATCGGTGACGTGAACGGACCTCGACTTCGTTCACGGCCGTTCGCAGCCGCTCACGCGCGTTCAAGCGCGTTCACGCGCATTCACGGGCGTGAGAGAGAGAGAAAGAGAGAGAGAGAGAGAGAGAGAG